CTGTGCCTAGCTCTAAACTGAAGCAGTTCGTGTTTGATCTGGTACTACTAGCAATTTTCAAGTCGGGTGATGGCATGTAAAATTCTGTTTAGCAAATTAAAGCAAAAATTATTTTAAATTACATCTCCACACTTTAATTGAAATCACTTAATAAAAACTGAAAAACTGTTTAGGTTCTTATGACTTGTTATTGAATGAAACTATAAGCCGGCTTATCGACTGCCATGCCTGGCCAAAGGGCAAAAACTTGAATCGCGTAGGGATATACGTGTAGTTTGTCTTAGTCATTAATTTGTGGCTGTATGAATGCATGATATGTTGAGTAACCGACCTGAAAGTTCAGCTGACTGATCGTCGAAATCCAAATTTCTACTGTCTTCGAGTAGAAAAGGCGATAAATGAAACGGATTTGTTGTACTGTTGAGGTAATGTAAGGTCCAGAGGGGTAGTAAGAGCGAGCGCAATTGCTGCACTGAAATAATCTGCCAAAGTACTGTAAATTTAAAAATTTTTAAGTAATTCTCCACAGATTTATCATTGATATTGCTTTCGCGAAATGACGATATGTTTGTAACTGGCATTTTAGTCGAAAAATTGAAAAGGCATAAAAAATTCCAGTGTTTATCGTCGACGAAATGAGCGCTTCTCGAAAAATAAAAATTCACAGAGCAAATGGTCTATTGGCTATCACTCATTTTTTTTAGCCGAAGTACACTTCTCATTAAGAATTATTCGTAACGTAAATGTTCTGTCAGTAAGACTGATTACCATTTTGGATAATGGCGCTTTGTCCACTACTAATCCATGCGTCATTCACTGGCGTCCGTAGTTCATTATCGAGCTGACCACTCGAGGATCTACGTGTCGCACTGGTCGCATCGTTTGCGAATGACTGACTTGTAAGCGAATTGTAACTTATCAAAGTCTCATTTCCGGACAGATTTGGAGTGGACATTATAAAACTACAAAGAAACGCAACACAGAAAAGCATGGATACTGCTGCTGCTGCCGCTACTGCTGGGACACATAATTGAGCTGTGCTTCTCCAGCATTCAAATTTTTGTTCAGAGCGATGTACAAAACTGGATTTTGTTGTGTTGTGTGACTTGGCCAGCCCAGGCAACCATATTCCAGTTCAGTGCCAGAGCACAACCGTTTCTTATTTACAATCTGCTGCAATCGCTCGATGATGCCTCCTTCGTCGCTTTTACTTGTGCAAATAAAGCATTCAGTTTGTGACCAGTTGCTCTCCACAGTGACCAGCTGCTGGGCAGCTCCGCTCAGCTGCTGGCCAGCAGTCTCAGTCAACAAATGCATCTCTTCTGTCGTTTCTGACTGCATTTCTGTTTTGAACTGGATTTTCTAGACAACCAACATGTTTGTGACTGATACTGATAACTGTGTAGGAATAATTTTTTGAGCGTTGCTTTTCAAAACACTTGAAAGTACGAATAGGGGTGAGTGAGGGAGAAAAATGATTCGGAAAAGATTGCTGTCGCTACGAATGCTGCTGTGAAGATGCGTCTTTTGCAATAATTCCGTCAGAACCGCTAATATAAGCTGCTGTAAGGAAGGTACATGTTGCTAAACAAATAAATATACCCATTAGTCTCAGAAATGTGATCTATGACGTATTTTCACGACTGTCGCATGAAAATTTAACAAAATATGAGTATTTTAGCTGCTTTGGTTGCGGAGTTACGTCAAATTTCGTTTGCTTACACGTGTGGGAAAACACTGATGTTGTTTGTATATGTGCCCACCCTAACACGTCCGTAGGTCATGTTCAGAAAATTTTGGACACTTCAGCTGCTTTGTGCAATTACGTCAAATTTTATGTGTTCATAATCGAGGAGGAACGTGAAGATTATTCTTACATGCATCTGCCTAAGTTTTGTTTGCTGAGTTACGTTAATCCCATCTGTTCGTACATGAGAGGGACTACCCGAACTAGGTCGTAGGCCATGCTCAACTTTCATCGCTCTTGATGTTTTGGATTGTGAATTTACGTCAAAATTCATTTATTTGTACGCGAGGAGAAACTGAATATTTTTTTTAAGTGCGCTTGTCCAAACACGTATTACTCAGAAAATCCAGTGTTCTTGTTGATTCGGTTGCAGATCAATCTGTCTATAATTCAGAGATCACTGACCTAGTATCTTATGAAAGGCTAGTGAGAGAGTACTGTCTGCATCACT